GGAACAGATGACTGTTCATTAAAACACTGTAATTTGTAATTGTTAAAATTCATAGGTCATTTATTTTGTTTTGTTTTTTACTACCTTTCTGGTGTTCTAATCTGACAAACTTGAGTCCCAAAAAGTTTTTCTTTTCTTTTATTTTGTTTTTGTAAAATAAAGTAAAGACGTTCTTGGTATAAACCCATTTAAAAGACAAACAAAAAGAAGTTTTTGTCTAAAATCTTAATCTTTTTGATGGAAAGGTTTTCAATGTGTCTGAATCCAAAGGAAAGAAAAACAAACATTTCTTTCTGTCTTATTTTAACACCTTTTTCACCTCACTGCTTGTTTATTAAAAAGTCCTTCATGCTGAGACCAGTCGAGCTTGTCATTCATGTTCACAGCTTATTCATAATCTGTGAACAGATGTCTTTAATAATACCAGCAGCATCACACTGGACCCACTCCTGCTCAGCTGCCTCTCTGTGTGGTTGGTCCTGTTTAATATTGTGGTGGGGTTTTTTGTATCCCCCTAATGCTCTAGACCGTGGGTTTACCTCAGAACACCTGTGGTGCTGCAATAAATTTAAATCCCTGTCCCTATTTAACTAGAGGTATTGGTTTGTGGTGACTATTCTCCATTTATATTAGAGCCATAATTGGTTCTTCTTCCTATAGAAAACTGACTTTCATCTCACAGAGAACAAACTTGCACATGCATGTTTTAGACACGGCTTCAAACACAGACGGGTTAAAGTTAAATTGAGCTGAATGGCTTCAACAGACTTTTTACAATTGGTTTAGCTTTAGATGTCAAAAATTACAAAATCATATTTTATCTTATGCCTTCCCTCTGCCCTGCTACTTTAGCTGTTGTTCCTGGATCATGAAATCTACCCATTTTATTTATTTAATTTAGCTTTTTCAGCCTTACTTTTAGTGAGTTGACTGTAGCACAGTGACAAGTGTGTGTCTCACTGGGTGAAGTCATTCTATTTAGCGATTTGATCCAGTGTGTGTGGCATTTCCTGTTAGGGAAGTGGTGTTGAATATGCCCCCTGCTGCAGCAACTTTCCTTTTGGGAGCCAGACATCATAATGTTAAGTGCTGGACCGCCTGTTGCACTTCTGCCTACCCAAGAGTCTCCCTCCATGGGCTGAAGGAAAAGTACAAAAGTGATTAGAGAGCGGCTGGTGGGGAGGGGAGGGCTCTCTGAAAATGGATGTCAACCAGGGAAAGAAGGCTAGACAGACAAACCGAGATAACAGAATTCATAAAGACTGATTCATGGAGACGGCAAGGGTGTGGGAGGTCAAATTTTTTGCGACTGTCAAAGAGCAGATAAGTGGTTCGGAAAAAAGATGGGGGAAAGGGAAGTAAATAAGGGATTAAAGAAACATCCACAGAAAGGAAGAAAAAAGCTTTGGCAGAGATAAAGAGAGTGCAGGATGTGAAAACACTAGACAGTATGTCACCAGACAAAAGAGAAAGTCATAAAAATACTCCAACACCAAGGGGGCCAGAAAAGACTGCCAAAATGAGGTGTCAGGAGAAGAAATGGAAAAAGAACAAACGTACAAGTGAGAATAGGAGGCATGGTAGTGATTTCTCAGAAGTCATGCTTCTCTAGAATACGCCTGGAGCCTAAAAGAAACAAAGAAAGTTGTAGCAGGAAAAAAAAAGACCCTCAGGTTAAAAATGGCACTGAAAGTCAAAACAGTCAACTTCCCCTGTTATAGTGTAGTGAGCCAGCAGTGACTACAGTCAGACTGGGTGGCAGGGAGACGCGACCACTTGTCGCTGCCGCAGACCGATTTTGATCTCCTTCAGTGTTATGCCCCTCCCAAAAAACAATCCATTTCTAACTGCCTGGTCTTTTCCTCTCTTTGAATACTGAAGCAGTGAGCAGTCCTACTGGTTCCAGTTATGCCCATACGATTCTAGCGTGCGTTAGTGTTGTTATCGAGATGGGGTCGCTGTCTAAGAAATATGCCAGTTTTTTATCATCCAAAGTGTGCTTTTGGTTGAGATTGTGGTTATTCCAACTCCAGAATTAATATGTATTTGCATTTGTTGAACATTAGCCAATGCATATGAAAGAAAACTATCAGTTGTATAGAATATTTCATTGTAGTGCAAGTAATCAATGGTGCATATTACAGTTCTTTAATCACCGATATCTACACATCTACACGTCGCAGACTTTTAGATTTTTTAGATTCCGTCACCGTGTAATTCTGTCTCTGGATCTACAGTTTCAAGGTTTCATTTTGAATTTGCATGAGCACTGAATGGCTCATTAGTAGTGGCTGAGATAAATGCCTCGTCAGCATGGCGGCCACTTCTGCCCATGTCAACATGCCTGCACTCTGCACAGATAAGGAATGGCATTATGAACTCTTATCCTGAAATCTGCCTGACTGTGCCGGATCTGAAAGAACACACACAGACACAAGAAGTTTTTTTTTTAAGGGAGTCGGTGTGGAAGGGGGTGGGCAAACTTTTTGACTTGCTGGCCAGAATTGTCCTAAAATTGAACGGGGGGTGGAGGGGTTGGTTCAGGAGTAGATAGACAGAGCGTTCGTTTGAACTAAGA